AATTAGACTTATGATGACTTATGTTAGTCTAATAACTAATAGATTCATATTTAATAGCAGTAGGTCTATAGGCTTAAAATAGTATTGTAAAAAAATAAAGTATGCTTAATTTTTACAGTTGTCATATTACTTTTAGTTTCAGTAAGCCTATCTAGACTGTAGATTTAGATGTAGTAGCTTAGTAGTAGTCAAGTAGGCCTGTGATAGCGTAGGTAGTTAGTATTAGTATGTAAGTTAAACAAAGTTAACTAGGCTTAATAAGGCTACAATTTTAAACTGTCAAAATTACATGTAGCCTAAATAAAAGGTTACAGACTAGTACATTAAATAATATCCAAAATTTAAGTTTAATCTAGATTAGTAGTCTAACAGTAATTTTAGGCCTCTAATAATAATAGTAAAAATTACTGAATAGAAGAGTAGGCTTACTAGTAAAGAGCTTATTTTAGTTCTACTTAATTAACTTAATATATGACTTAGTCTACTCTTAGTCTTATGTAGTGATCTTTAGAACTTAAAACGCAGAATAGTTGATAAAGCCGAAAGATGGATTAACTTACTAATCAAATAAATATAATTATCCTAATATTTATTCTAGTATTTGTATGAATTAATGATTGTTATAGTAGCCTAGTTTGAATATCAATTTTCAACTAATTCCTGAGGTGGCTAAACATAAGTAGTAGATCTTTATTGATACCTTTTTTTTTTAATAATAAATACATGACTTTTGGACTCTTTTGAAGGCTTATTGTATTTAATGACAAACACCTTACATTAAAATATTAAAAGTAAATTATTAGACCTATATTTTTAATGAATGGTAATGGTTAGATAGCCCATACAATCCAATACATAAATACGCATCATTGCTTTATAATCTTTATAAGACAGGCAAAATATTTTTATTTATAACATTAAGAGTTGAAAGTATGTAAACATAATGAGTTTAATATAACAGTTTATGAAATTTATTTTTGTTTTTTTAGATACTGTGGATTATACAACTGCATACAGAGAAGACAAAAGTCAAGATGAAGCTCAATTTAAAAACTGATCCAAGGATACATGTTGGACCCAAGAAAACTTGTTCATATTGAACAACTATTTTTTATTATGTTAGTTCTGAATGAATATGGCAATTAAAAAAAGAAAATCATAAACTTTGTTATGTTTATTTTTTTTTCAGCACTGGTTGTGTGTGCTGGTGTAAGCGGAAACTATATTATTGCTACCTTAATTCAATAATTAACTTAAACTGGCGAACTATAGTTTTTAAGAATATGGTGCTGAAGTAGATTTCACATAGTTTTGTTGCCTCTCCATATTAATAAATTGTATGGTCAGCAAAATGTCAAACAGCTTTTACTAAGTTGTACTGTCTATAACCAGTCAGGTACCAGTTAAAGCTGCTTTGAATTTGAATCAGAGACAACCTAAAGGATTAAAATTTCAACTCAAGAACTTTTGCTTTAGCAAATGTGTTCACAAATATGTAGTCCCAAAGTCTTACATTTGCATATATCTATCATAGATGTTAAACATAATGTTAAGGGAAGAATCAAGAATATGGGTTTTTGTCAATTCTAGCCATACCAGCATATAAATGTAGACCAGGCTTAGTGAAGCATGGCTGATAACTAACCATCAACCACAAATACACCAAACTATAATCACTACCTGTTTCCTGGTAATGTGTTGTTATTGGCCGTGCAAGTTTATGAACATGTTTTAATTGTTAATATATTACAAAAGAAAAAGACAGTTGCTGATCAGATGCATTCCAGATATTTAAGGAAAAGATGTTTTCTATAAGGATAGGCAGCTATAGTAAATGAGGTTAGGGGAAATGTTGAGTTAAGATAAACTATTTAATAATTGTAATGGCAGAGATACCATCAAAACAACAAATGTAATTGGGTTTGTATGACTAATTAATGAATATCCTATAAATAATAGCAAAATGCTGTAGTGGTCGTCCATAAAAGACTTTGAGGTAGTGGGGGAGATTTGGACCTTTGTGTCAGGGGGGAGGGGGGTTCAGAAAGTAAGATGACACTTTTCCATGTTCAACAAACACTCATGTTAAGAAATTGAATTTAAGCCTTTAATTTGCTTTATTAAAAGTTGTTTTATAAATTGTTATAAAATAATTCATCAATAGGCCTACATTGAATGTTGGAAAAGCTCATAGGTCTAAATATTTTATGAAAATCGGTGCTTTAAAAACAAAATAGCGGGGGGGGGGGGGGGGTGTTGGCTTAGGTTTACTTTTTTGGGGAAGGGGGAGGTCTGGCATCGGTGTGACATCGTTAATAGATGACCCCATAGTCAGAGGTCGATCTAGATTGATTAGGCCTATATTAAAATGTTGATATTAATTACGCTTTACTTATTATTACAATGGAATATAGCCTAGTAGTTTATTTATATTAAATAATATAACATCCCCTTTCACCACAACACCCTGACTATACTAATCCAAATTAAAATAAAAATGTTTGGTAAATTACTATTATATTATTAGTAATTTTTAGTTTGAATATTTCTAGCCTTAGTAAAACCGGAAGTGACTTTGTACTCATTTCACAAATGTTATAAAATATTCAATTTTGGTTAAAAAATATGCTTTCTGGCAACACAAAGTGGAACCACTTTTGGAACCACTTTTCCATTCTATTGTCAACATTTTATAATAAACGGTGTATACGCTTTTGAAATCATTTTTTTTAAACAAGCAGTTAAGAATCCAAATTTATATTACGACGACGTGGTACTCATTTTAACCATCAACATATATTAGCTCTGACACATATCATGGGTTTTGATTCATGCCTTATGCCCACCATTAGTTGTAAACTATCATATGTTCGGTAATTATTTTTTTTAAGATATAACCTGATACAATACATTTATTGTTTCATTGAGCTGAGCTAAAGAAGTTCTTATGTATGTATGAATATGAGTTTAGTTTAGTTTGACATTAGTACCTGATATTTATTTATCTTTGTTGGTAAACGTTTGTTTACTTGATTGATGGCCAGCTTTTTTATATTGATCCAGGCCATTCTGTGACTGTTGGCCAACAGTTTTATATTGATGTGGGCCATCAATCACTTGTGGCCACAATTTTACATTGAAGCAGGCATCTTATGCTGGACTGCTAACCCGTAAGTCTCGAGTTCGAATCCGGGTTCAAGTCAGTAGACCGTCCCTGAGTCCACCCAACTCAGATGGGTACCCAACTCACGTTAGGGAAAGTAAAGGCGTGCTGGGCATAGTGCTGACCACACTATCCCTTCACATGCCGAGGTCACAGAAACAGGTGAATTCTACTTCACTTGCCCTATAGGTAGTCAGGTTTGAAAAGGGAACTTTACTTTAGTAAGCCATCTTATGACTGTCGTCCAACATTTTCCATTTTGATGAAGTTCATTCCACGACCATTCGAAAACCTTTCAACAGTTGTGCTGGCTATGATGTGATGATAATAACTGAATTGTTGTTAAACATCTCGGGCACTTAAATTTATAAATCTCAATCACCTAAAGTTAGATAACTCTGTTAATTTGTTTCTTCCTATTCCCATCCCAGTTAATTCCTCTTAAACAAATATTAAATCCTGTCATATCTGACAGTCCATAAATTGCTTCAGGTTTATATAACGTGTATTCTTTTTATTTCCGATGTTACCTACCAATAGCTTAATACAACTACATTGATGTTGTGCTGACCACATTGTTCTAGTATATGCTGAAACTAACACATACAGTACTTTATTTACATTATAGACTGCCATGGTTGATGGATGTGGACTGTGTGTGAACTGTGTGTGGACTGTGTGTGGACTGTGTGTGGACTGTGTGTGGACTGTGTGTGGACTGTGTGTGGACTGTGTGTGGACTGTGTGTGGACTGTGTGTGGACTGTGTGTGGACTGTGTGTGGACTGTGTGTGGACTGTGTGTGGACTGTGTGTGGACTGTGTGTGGACTGTGTGTGGACTGTGTGTGGACTGTGTGTGAACTGTGTGTGGACTGTGTGTGGACTGTGTGTGGACTGTGTGTGGACTGTGTGTGAACTATGTGTGTACTGTGTGTGGACAGTGTGTGGACTGTGTGTGGACTGTATGTGGACTGTGTGTGGACTGTGTGTGGACTGTGTGAACTGTGTGTGGACTGTGTGTGGACTGTGTGTGGACAGTGTGTAGACTGTGTGTGGACTGTGTGTGGACTGTGTGTGGACTGTGTGTGGACAGTGTGTGGACTGTGTGTGGACTGTGTGTGGACAGTGTGTGGACTGTGTGTGGACTGTATGTGGACTGTGTGTGGACTGTGTGTGGACTGTGTGAACTGTGTGTGGACTGTGTGTGGACTGTGTGTGGACAGTGTGTGGACTGTGTGTGGACTGTATGTGGACTGTGTGTGGACTGTGTGTGGACTGTGTGAACTGTGTGTGGACTGTGTGTGAACTGTGTGTGGACTGTGTGTGGACTGTGTGTGGACAGTGTGTGGACTGTGTGTGGACTGTATGTGGACTGTGTGTGGACTGTGTGTGGACTGTGTGTGGACTGTGTGTGGACAGTGTGTGGACTAGCGTGTGGACTAGCGTGTGGACTAAGTTAAAGAGAGAATGAAGAAAACAAGAAAACAAAAAACACAAAAAGTAAATGACTTTAGAAAATCTAATGACCGACTAGCACAGGACACTAGGTCCTACATATAGACGATGCAGTGGTTTGATGGAAAGTTCTTTCTTCTTTGCCACACCTCAAACACCTCACATTCACCTCACTCATCCATTACGTCCTTTACACACACACACGCGCGCGCACACACACGCGCGCACACACACACACACACGCGCACTCAAGCACGCACGCACACACACACACACACACACGCAGTTAAAAAGATTTCTTAGTAAGATTTCTTGTAAGTTCAAAGTAAGTTAAAACAACTTAAAACAATCACATAATTCAATAGAAAACATAAAGCGTCAATTTATTAGACCTCTTCAAACAATCACATGTTTCATCAAACAAAATATTCACATGATTCATTAGAAAACACACTAAATAACATCATTTTATTAGACCGTCGAAAAACCACATATTTCATCAAACTAAATATTCACATGGTTCATTAGAAAACACTTCAAGCAACAACAATAGACGAACTCCAACAATCACATTTTATTCAACTTTTCTAAACATTGTACATGATGGCTTTGACCCAGCTTAACAATCACAGGGTTAATATATTAGCTATAGCTAAACAATCACGTTTGAATAAATCACACTTTTGTATAGTTTTCCCATAACCATCAACACTGATTCAATGCACACATTTATCTTGGTTCTGTAGAATAGAAATAATTTAAAATGTATCAAATATAAAATCAGGCACAATATATTTATTTTAGAAAACACATATATATATATATATATATATATATATATATATATATATATATATATATATATATATATATATATATATATATATATATATATATATATATTAAGGGAGCAGGACGTTTTCCCGAAAGACACTTGCCCGAATGCGACAAATGCCCGAAAGCCACTTGACCGATGTATGTAACATGTATAGTTACATGTATGTAACATGTATAGTTACATGTATGTAACATGTATAGTTACATGCATGTAACATGTATAGTTACATGTATGTAACATGTATAGTTACATGTATGTAACATGTATAGTTACATGCATGTAACATGTATAGTTACATGTATGTAACATGTATAGTTACATGTATGTAACATGTATAGTTACATGCATGTAACATGTATAGTTACATGTATGTAACATGTATAGTTACATGTATGTAACTTGTATAGTTACAAGTATGTAACATGTATAGTTACAAGTATGTAACATGTATAGTTACATGTATGTACCATGTATAGTTACATGTTTGTAACATATATAGTTACATTATGTCACAACTTTTGTAATAATGTACAATTTAACCTAGGGACAGCGTGGCTGGGCGGAGGAGAGATAGACTGCTAACCCGAAAGTCTCGAGTTCGATTCTCGGTTAAAGTCAGCTGAACGTCCCTTAGTCCACCCAGCTCTGATGGGTACCTAACTCACATTAGGGAAAGTAAAGGCGGCTGGGCATAGTGCTGACTACACTATCTCCTCATATGGCAAGGTCCCTGAAACAGATAAACTCTACTTCATCTACACCATGCGTTTGCGGCACAAACAGGAAGATAATGATGATGATGATGGTGATGGTGGTGATGATGATGATGATGGTGATGGTGATGATGGTGATGGTGATGATGGTGGTGATGGTGATGATGATGGTGGTGATGGTGATGATGATGATGGTGATGGTGGTGAAGATGATGATGATGATGATGGTAATGATGGTGATGGTGATGATGATGATGATGATGGTGATGATGATGATGATGATGATGATGATGATGATGATGATGATGATGGTGGTGATGGTGGTGATGATGATGGTGATGGTGATGGTGGTGGTGATGATGATGGTGATGGTGGTGGTGGTGATGATAATAATGATGATGACGATGACGATGACGATGATGATGATGATGATGGTGATGGTGGTGATGATGATGATGATGATGATGATGGTGATGGTGTTGGTGATGATGATGGTGATGGTGATGATGATGTTGATGATGATGGTGATGATGATGGTGATGATGATGATAATGATGATAATAATGATGATGATGACGATGATGATGATGACGATGATGATGATACAACCTAATAAAGAAACGTGCCACACACAGGAATACATGCCTGCATGCAATGGGTACCTTCAGTTTTGACGGGAACCTATTCAGAACAAGAAATAAATATAGTTGAGTTTAAACGAATATCACTTCTCAAACATTATTTAGCCGAACATAATATAACAATTGTAGAATACCAAAGCCTCGTCTATAAAATGACGTGGCACTCTTTGGAGGGAGGTACTTTTGTGACGATCTGTCATGACTTGTGCATTTTAAATAAAGCGGAAGTGACCTCCCCTTAACTTTCTCGAATATACATAACACTACGGGGGATGGCAACTCGGGATATAGACATGTTATATATACATATAGACATTATATTTCTTAAACTTATCAAAATAGAATAGAATCTCGTAGAAAAAGAATTGAAAATGCAAGTATTTAAAAGTTGATTTTTTTTAAAATGTATAAATCCCGACTGCACAAGAGTTGCCAAACCCTCCCCCCTTAGTGTAATCTAAGAACATTCGAGTAATTTTTGGGGATATTACTCCTGTTTTACTTTTATATTAGGCCGTCTTTTTTTTTGGGGGGGGGGGGGGTTTCATTTCGGCAAAATTTAGTCACAATTTTACATTGTATGAGTGTTTATAAATAAAAATATTTCTCTAAATTTTATCAACGTCTTCAAAGAAATTTAAGTATATTTCTTTTAAACAAAATACTTTCCTACATATGTACGTTTTTCAAAATTGTACATCTATGGCAGATTTTCTGATCTCTTCAAAGAGACAAATAAATACACTTACATATTCATAGATATAAAAACTTGTAAACATTGGGTGAATTATTTAGTATAATATAGTTACCAGATTGATATTTAGCATAGAAAGTATTGCTGACATTATAGGCATATTCCGTGGACTCGGTGACAATACGCCGAGGGTTTACAATATATCTGTACGCTGAGAGCCGATACCAAGATTCAGGAATTAGGGGATGGAAATTGACTTTCAAAAGGTGGCTGTCTTGTGTGCAGTTACATCTTTGGGTTGCAGTTATATCACACAGGTTGAGAAAACAGACCCCTGAGAACAAGCACTCCTGTAAGAAACAGACACACACACAAATGTATATACATATATATATATATATATATATATATACATATATATATATATATATATATGTATATGTATATGTATATATATATATATATATATATATATATATATATATATATATATATATATATATATATATATATATATATATATATATATATCAGTGGCGTAGCGAGGTCGGGTGTCACCCGGTGCGGCACTTAATGGTGTCACCCCCCCAGAGGCATAGAGACCCTTCCCAGGGACAAACTTTCAAATTTTCGATTTGCACCCCCCCCCCCTCAAACTTTCGATTTGCACCCCCCCCCCTCAAGTTTTCGATTTGCACCCCCCTCAAACTTTCGATTTGCACCCCCCCTCGAGTTTTTCTCTATATATTTTGCTATTTTTTGCCTTGGTGTCACCACCCTAAATGGTGTCACCCGGTGCGGTCCGCACCCCCCCCTCGCTACTTATTTATATACGTATATATACATACATATACATATATTATATATATATATATATATATATATATATATATATATATATATATATATATATATATATATATATATATATATATATATATATATATATATATACATAACAATGTTCCTATGGCTGATGGTTGCAGGCAGGACTGATACAGTCCAGACAATTGAATACAACTGAATGGGTCGTGTAACTTGCTCGTGCTGTAGTAGCCAATGAGACGATCTCAGGGTTTAGCCAATCAGGCCATCGCTGTTCTAGGTTTTATTTATAGCCTCCACGTCATCTGAACCAGCCACATTAAAGCACCACAAACCGGGGCAGGAGACTTGCTTGTCGTGTATTGGGGAATCAAGTAGCCGGTCTGCCAAAGCGAGCCTGTACCGTATCCAGTGGCGTAGCGAGGTCGGGTGTCACCCGGTGCGGCACTTAATGGTGTCACCCCCCAGAGGCATAGAGACCCTTCCCAGGGTGTCACCCCCCTAAACGGTGTCACCCGGTGCGGTCCGCACCCCCCGCCCCCCCCCCCCTCGCTACGCCCCTGACCGTATCCGCTAGTGAGTCAAACGAGAAAGAGAACCTCTGTTCTTATACGTCTGTCCTATCCCGCGAGTTATTCCCAATGGATTTCCAAGGGATTCCGAAGGGATTACGGACCGGTAATTTGTGAACTAACAAATTATCGCCATCCCCCCCCCCCCCCCACCCATGTTATTATAAACGTTTTTATAATGTTTTAATTATACCTCTGTCCTATCAAATTGTCCCTCTAAGCTGCACATTTGCGAGGCAGTGCAGTTGTTTTTTAACCTGCCGCGCAGTCATTTTGTAAAATACATACATCATTGTATAGGACTTTAGATAACCGCACGCACAAAATACAGGTAGCTCAGTACCTTTTTCCTCTTAGAGGTACGTTGGTCCTATCCCACTAGTAATTCCCAAGGATTCCGTTTTCCAAAACCTGTGAAATAACAAATTATCCCCCCCCCCCTTAACTCTGGTGCTTACAGCACTGGTCATCATAAAGGCTACTATCATAATGAAGCAGTTCGTCTCTTTGAAACGGCTATATTTTCCGCCCCCTTCAATCAACAAATCCCCTTCACTCTAAAACCCTATCACCTTAGATCGCGTACAATCAACAAATCCCCTTCACTCTAAAACCCTATCACCTTAGATCGCGTACAATCAACAAATCCCCTTCACTCTAAAACCCTATCACCTTAGATCGCGTACAATCAACAAATCCCCTTCACTCTAAAACCCTATCACCTTAGATCGCGTACAATCAACAAATCCTCTTCACTCTAAAACCCTATCACCTTAGATCGCGTACAATCAACAAATCCCCTTCACTCTAAAACCCTATCACCTTAGATCGCGTACAATCAACAAATCCCCTTCACTCTAAAACCCTATCACCTTAGATCGCGTACAATCAACAAATCCCCTTCACTCTAAAACCCTATCACCTTAAATCGCGTACAGTCAACAAATCCCCTTCGTCCTAAAATCCTATCACCTTAGATCGCATACAATCAACAAATCCCCTTCACTCTAAAACCCTATCACCTTAGATCGCGTACAATCAACAAATCCCCTTCACTTTAAAACCCTAGCACCTAAGATCGCGTACAATCAACAAATCCCCTTCACTCTAAAACCCTATCACCTTAGATCGCGTACAATCAACAAATCCCCTTCACTCTAAAACCCTATCACCTTAGATCGCGTACAATCAACAAATCCCCTTCACCCTAAAACCCTATCACCTTAAATCGCGTACAATCAACAAATCCCCTTCATTCTAAAACCCTAGCACCTAAGATCGCGTACAATCAACAAATCCCCTTCATCCTAAAACCCTATCACCTTAAATCGCGTACAATCAACAAATCCCCTTCATTCTAAAACCCTATCACCTTAGATCGCGTACAATCAACAAATCCCCCTCACCCTAAAACCCTATCACCTTAGATCGCGTACAATCAACAAATCCCCTTCACTCTAAAACCCTATCACCTTAGATCGCGTACAATCAACAAATCCCCTTCACCCTAAAACCCTATCACCTTAGATCGCGTACAATCAACAAATCCCCTTCACTTTAAAACCCTATCACCTTAAGATCACGTACAATCAACAAATCCCCTTCACTCTAAAACCCTATCACCTTAGATCGCGTACAATCAACAAATCCCCTTCACTCTAAAACACTATCACCTTAGATCTCGTACAATCAACAAATCCCCTTCACTCTAAAACCCTATCACCTTAGATCTCGTACAATCAACAAATCCCCTTCACTCTAAAACCCTATCACCTAAGATCACGTACAATCAACAAATCCCCTTCACTCTAAAACCCTATCACCTTAGATCGCGTACAATCAACAAATCCCCTTCACTCTAAAACCCTATCACCTAAGATCACGTACAATTAACAAATCCCCTTCACTCTAAAACCCTATAACCTTAAATCGCGTACAATTAACAAATCTCCTTCACTCTAAAACTCTATCACCTAAACAGCACCTTGAACTCCACTCACTTTTTGCCAATCCACCGAATCCCGGGAACAGTTTTGTCTTTATCACATTGTTGCAAGTAAAACAGGAAACAGCCTTCCTTGTAGTTTAAAAAATCGCCTTCGATAAACCCTAAGATGCGCTCGGTGTCGAAGCAAACACCTTCCATGAAGCAATGCTTATCAAATTTATCAATTTTCAGCACAAAAGTTTGACCACTGGAAACACCGGCTGTTAATTAGAATTATTTTTTTATTATTAATTAATGTCACTTTAAAATTAAAATATAGAATTGTTATCAATTATCAACAAGATACAATGTCGCTTTATGTTGTAAAATAACCAAATCTCAATTCGAAATAACAAAACCTATGTATTCAATGCAATTGTATGATTTGAGAAAAAAAAATTGTTTTGAATTCCGAAAAACTTTGAAAAAAAAATAAACTTATAATAATATATTCCATTATATGGTTTGTTCCGTTTATGTAAAGATGTTTTACTTGTGGTCATAACCAGAGGCGTAGCGACCCTTTTGGCGGCGCCCCCCCCCCCCCCCCCCGGGGGGACAAACTTTAAATTTGGCGCCCCTCCCCCATTTATTTTTTTATATTTATAATGCAAAACTGAAGCTAAATGAGCTTTTAATTTTTTTTTTCAACCCATTTTTGGCGCCCCCTATGGTCGGCGCTCGGAGACATATGTACCCCCCCCCCCGGTCATAACTAAGATTTGTCCCAATGGTGTATCCAGGATTTAGGTGTAGGGGAGTTAAAGAATAAAGTAGGGCACCGAATTTAAACACGTTCGCGTGGAACAAAAGCTTCACGTTTAGAAAGAATAAAATAGTGCCTACCCTGTTTCATTCTAACATAAAAAAAGCTCTTCTTACTCCTAGTAAATAAAATAAATGAGTAAACATACAAAAAAAGAAGAAACCAACCTAGGACGCACACGATACACAAAATGAAGATCCTAAGCAGCAGGCTATTGCTCATCTTTTTTTCTAATTGAACATTCTGTAAATTTACAATAAAAAATAGTTTAGATTTAAATTTAAAAGTTGATGTCTAAAAAAATAAACTTTTGACCTAAAAATAGCATTTTATAGTTACCTAACCTGTCAGTTCCATGAACAGATGAAGTAGAGTTCACCTGTCTATTTCTGTAACTAAGGCAAGTCAATGATTTTGTAGTCAGCACTATGCCTAGAAGTCTTTATTATCCCTAACCTAAGTCAGGTACCTATCAGAGCTGGGTGAACTCAGGAACGACCTACGGGTTCGAACCCAGGCTTCGATCTACAACATTTAGAATTAGCAGTGTTGGTAGCTCTATCGTCCTACTCCACAGTCCCATCATAGATAAATAGTAAGAGAGTAATTTTTAACGAAAATTCCAGAATAGTGGTCTTCAAAAGATCTGCTGACAAGCATAGCCCAGTCCTGCTAGAAGTGACAACCAGAGGGGATGTAAAGATGTAAACCTAAAGGACACGTTGTAGAAATAATTATTATATCATCATTACGGCCCTGATTTTTAACACCTAAAACCATAGGACAATAGGACTCCGATATAGCATAGGGCAATAGGACGCTGATATAACCCAATAACATAAGACTATATATATATATATATATATATATATATATATATATATATATATATATATATATATATATATATATATATATATGTGTGTGTGTGTGCACGCCCGGTGTTTGATACGTCTTGTCAATGTACTAAGTTCTAAGGAACACTAGCAACCCCAGAACCTCAACAAATAACCGACAAGGTAAAAAAAAAATTCACTGTGAGGGGGGGGGGGGATTTTCTTAGAAAAGGGGTGTAAGGTTACTGGTAATTAACTAAAAGACGCACATGGCTTGCTAAAGTCAATGCTAAACCCATTCCAAGTCCCAACCCTACCATAACCCTAATTTCTAACCATTAAAACTAGATCTAGATCTAGATCT